TCCTCCTGCGTCCTCTCTACCTACTCTTCCTGACCCGGAGTCTGACTCCCGTCGTGCTGCCAGTCCCACTGTCACGCGTCTTCTCGCCACAGTTGTCACTGACCCTACTTTTGAGTCCGCCGCTGCGTCTGCTCTGGTCGCTGAGTTGGTTGACTTTGCTGCTCGCTGTCGCCTAGACTACGCTGCTAGCCTTGTTGCTGAGTCTGAGTCTGAGTCTGCCTGTCCTCCGTCCGTCGGGGGTGAGTGTGCTCTTGGCACGGACGTCCTTGAGGACAGACAGGAGGAGTTCCAGTGCTTTGCTGCTGCTTTGCCCCACCTCGTGTCCATGCTAGTTGCCCCTGAGGGAGACCCGGATGCACCAGACATCCCGACCCCGCGCACTTACGCTGAGGCGATGGCGGGTCCCTACTCCTCTCAGTGGCAGACAGCCATGGACGCAGAGATGGCTTCCTGGAAGTCCACACGCACCTACGTCGACGAGGTTCCCCCACCTGGGGCGAACATCGTCAGTGGCATGTGGATTTTCAGGGTGAAGCAGCCGCCGGGTTCTCCGCCTGTCTTCAAGGCGCGTTACGTGGCTCGAGGCTTCAGTCAGCGAGAGGGAGTCGACTTCTTTCAGACCTTCTCCCCCACCCCGAAGGTGACCACTCTTCGGGTGCTGCTGCACATAGCCGCTCACCGCGACTACGAGCTTCACTCACTTGACTTCAGCACTGCTTTCTTGCAGGGCAGCCTGCACGAGGAGATCTGGCTGCGCCGCCCCCCTGGCTTCACTGGGTCGTTTCCTCCTGGTACCCAGTGGAGGCTTCAGCGGCCGGTCTACAGTCTCCGCCAGGCTCCACGTGAGTGGCACGACACACTGAGGACTACACTTGCAGCTCTTGGGTTCGCGCCTTCTACTGCTGACCCGTCGCTGTTTCTGCGCACCGACACTTCGCTGCCGCCGTTCTACATCCTCGTGTACGTCGACGACTTGGTCTTTGCCACTGCTGACACTGCAAGACTCGCCTACGTGAAGTCGGAGCTGCAGAGGAGACACACGTGCACAGACCTGGGTGAGCTGACAAGCTATCTTGGCTTGCGGATCACCCGGGACAGAGCACGGCGCACCATCACCCTGACTCAGTCACACATGGTGCAGCAGGTTCTCCAGCGCTTCCGCTTCACGTACTCCTCGCCTCAGTCCACTCCTCTGCCTACCGGTCACTCGCTCTCAGCTCTGCCTTCGGATGAGTCCGTAGAGCCGAGTGGCCCGTATCCAGAGCTTGTGGGCTGCCTCATGTACCTGATGACCTGCACTCGACCTGACCTTGCATACCCTCTTAGCATCCTTGCACGCTATGTCGCTCCTGGCCGTCACAGGAAGGAGCACATGGATGCCGCTAAGAGGGTGTTGCGCTACTTGTGCAGTACGTCGGGCATGGGGCTAGTGCTTGGAGGGCGAGACCGAGTTGTGCTCACTGGACACTCAGACGCTTCTTGGGCGGACGACCAGGCTACTCAGCGGTCGTCTCAGGGTTACACCTTCAGCCTTGGCTCTGGCTCAGTTTCTTGGCGTTCCACACGCTCTTCGTCTGTTCTCAGCTCCAGTTGTGAGGCTGAGATCTACGCCACAGCCATGGCGGCCTAGGAGCTACGCTGGCTGACCTACCTGCTGACCGACTTGGGAGAGAGGCCTCGTTCTCCTCCAGTGCTGTACGTCGACAACAAGGCTGCCATTGCCTTGTGTGAGGAGCACAGACTGGAGCACCGAACGAAGCACATCGCCCTGCGGTACTTCCTGGCTAGAGAGCTACAGCAGCGTGGTCAGCTTTGTCTGCGTTACGTGGCCACTGAGGCCAACACTGCTGATGTGTTCACCAAGGCGCTCCAGCCTTGTGACCATCAGCGCTTTTGTACTCTTTTGGGCCTTGTGCCTACTGGACCTCACTTGCTTACTTCTTGACTTTGCTTGTACTGTGATCTCTATATATATATATATACCTGCATGTTTACTCTTGCTAGGTTGTGATCACTGTATCTCTTGCTCTGTTATAAACCTGCATGTGAACTGGTCTTGTGACCGCTTGCTTGTGCTCGGAATTTGTGTGGAATCCTCGAGATCCACCCTGAGCCTGTTTTGCCTTGCTTTGCCTTGACTGGTCTTGTGACCCCTTGTTCTCCCCCACTTTGCCTATGGGGGTGTGTCAAACATATTTGCTGCATACTGTCTAGGCTGTAGTGGGGTAGCCCATATGGGGTACAACCCAAATTAGGGTTTACTACTTGTACTCCTGCATGCTGCTAGTTCACTCATTCCTGCCTGTTCATTCTGACATTTTCACCGTCGGCCTAACCGTGGGCAACGTTGCGCGGTTATGCTTCCTTTCTTGCTAATGGTATCACGTGCTGCAACCAACCTGGCTTGTGTATCTCCCTGGGCTTGAGTATCAATGCCTATGGAGCTTTCACACTGTCGCCGGTTTTATTCTCTGAGCTGTTCACGTTGTTGTTGACTTTTTTTCTTTTCTTTTCTTTTCTTTTCTTTTGTTTTCCCTCACGTGTCATAATCTTCTGCAGCTGTCTTTAGTGCAGGTTCCATAACATTCGGTGGTTTTTATGCAGGCGCCAAACCGTTTCATGATTTAGTTTGCTGGCTGCATCATGTTCCGTCCGACCATCTCTCGTCGGATTAGTGTCAAGATAGTAAGGACAGTGAGAAGCCATAGCTAGGGTTGACCTAGCTAGGCAAGCAAGAAATGAACAAAGAAGGGGATGCACTAGTTGTCAGAGGTCCACTGGTGATCCCCGATGATCCTAGGGAAGGGTTACAAGCACGTTGGCCTGGGGGGTTATGGGCGCACTCACCCGCTACACAAATAAGCCCTTTTATCCCAGTGGTTAGTGGCTGGGATTCTGACATGGTATCAGAGCGAAGGTCTCGGGTTCGAATCCCGGTGTGTGCACCTCGGGCATCCCAGTGCGGGGGGGTGTCAGAGGTCCACTGGTGATCCCCGATGATCCTAGGGAAGGGTTACAGGCACGTTGGCCTGGGGGGTTATGGGCGCACTCACCCGCTACACAAACAAGCCCTTTTATCCCAGTGGTTAGTGGCTGGGATTCTGACACTAGTAAGAATGGGGATACAAATAGCAAACCCTAGAAGGGTTGTACTCGCTATAGAGCACCCCACTACAGGCTAGAGCATAATATTCTGACACAACCCCATAGCCAAAGTGGGGTGTAATCAGCAGAGCAAACAAAGCAGTACAAGCTCAGGGTGGATCACAATGTCACCACACATTCTGAGCACAAGTTCAAGAAGCAATAGTTTAAAGTTCACAATTATGAGCAAAGCTAGTGGTAGTCACAACGGGCAAGTGAGGAGGAGGAAAGAGACTATGAGAGGAGAGGAGGTAGTGGGCGGCAGCTGAAGCTGCTGGCACACGGCGCAACTGGAGCAACTGGCACACGGGCAACTGGAGCAACTGGCACACTGGCAACTGGAGCAACTGGCACACGGGCTACTGGAGTAACTGGCTCCGCGGCTGAAAGTAGCGGCAGACGAGCAACAAACTCACGGGCGACTGGAGCAACGGGCTCACGGGCGACTGGCGCAACGGGCTCACGGGCGACTGGCGCAACGGTCTCACGGGCGACTGGAGCTGCTGGCTTCACGGCGGCCACCCCCTTCAACCTCCCCAAACTATCCCACTCCCCCTGACACACACCCGCTGCTACACCGCTAGCTCCACTCCCCCTTCACCCCCCCTTAGTACCACTCCAACGGCTCCAACAGGTCCACCCCCCTCAGCGGCAGCTGCAGCACAGGGAGACGGAGGAGGAGGAGGAGCAGGGAACGGCACACAGAAGCTGCACCCCCATACCCCCCACCCCCAAACCCTAATCCAGGAGTACGGGCAGAAGGAGGGGTGGGGCGCCTTCAGAAGCACGGGGGACAGTGAGGAGGACAGGGGCAGCGAAGAACGGGCCGCGCTCGGGCCTGGCGCAGCCCGTACGGGCCGCGCGCCGGCTGTACGGGCCGCGCGCAGGCCACGACGGGCGACGGGGGGCGACGCGCGGGTCCCCGTCGCCCGTCGCAGCGCCTCCCGGGAGCAACGCGCGGTGTGACGGGGCAGAAACCCGCCGCGCGCCTCGGGGCGCACGGCGGGCAGAGAACCGCCGCGCGCCTCGGGGCGCACGGCGGGCAGAAAACCGCCGCGTGCCTCGGGGCGCACGGCGGGCTGAAAACCCTAATTTCAACGCCGCGTACCACGAGGCGCGCGGCGGACAGGGAGTAGCAGTAGCAGCGGAAGCAGTGAAGTGGTGGGCCCACAGGACAGGAGCGTAACCGCTCTGATACCATGTCAAGATAGTAAGGACAGTGAGAAGCCATAGCTAGGGTTGACCTAGCTAGGCAAGCAAGAAATGAACAAAGGAGGGGTTGCACTAGTAAGAATGGGGATACAAATAGCAAACCCTAGAAGGGTTGTACTCGCTATAGAGCACCCCACTACAGGCTAGAGCATAATATTCTGACAATTAGTTCCCAACTAGGCTTTAAAGCCCAAGTCTAGCATGGCAAAGGTTCAAGTTCAAGATTCTTGAAGCTGAAATCGCCAAAAACAGGGTAATCCGGTTGGGGCTTTCCCACCCTCGCAAACACCGGAAACAGTTTGTGGGAGGGGGATTCTGATTGGCTGAGATGAACACAAGCCAAATTATCAACCCTCTCGCCACATAAGCCAACCAAGCAGACTACTGTTCATACTTTAGCAAACTTGGAAGTGAAATTGACCATACTAGACTCGATACCTAGGAGGCTCCATGGCTTAGAAAGCGAACTTGTCTGCTAGCGCACTCATTCCCGCTCGTCCATCCTGTCTCGCCCATTCGTATTGTCCCTCATGTTTAACTCGCCCTTCCTGTCACTTCCATTCCCTCACAAAGTCACACACTCGCGTCACTCTCTTCTCAAGACTCCTGCCGTAACACACGACTCGCCTTGACTAAGAGCTCTTATGAGCGTCGTCAACCACCATTCCGACCGTAGGCAGTTCAGGGCCAATATCACTTCCGTTCCCAATGTCGTGACGGTCATGACCATCAATAGCGTCGCGGCGGCAAATGCCATTTCCATCATCGCGGCGGTACCTTCGCCTCCCATCACCGCCTTTTCGTCGCCCTCCCTTCCCCTGCCCGTCGCGCTCCCTTCCCTACCCGTCGCGCTCCCTTCCGTACCCGTCGCGCTCCCTTCCGTCATTCCCGACACACATGTATGTCATTGCCTTCTCGCCATTCTCCCTTTTCGTGGCTCTTATTCTTTCCTGCACGTCGCCCTCGCTTCCCCTCCCCGTCGCGCTCCCTTCCCCTCCCCGTCGCGCTCCCTTCCCCTCCACGTCGCGTTCCCTTCCCCTCACCATCACGCTACCCCCCCCTCCCCGTCGTGCTCCCTTCCCCTCCCCGTCCCGTTCCCTTCCCCTCCCCGTCGCGTCCCTTCCCCTCCCCGTCGCGCTCCCTTCCCCTCCCCGTCGTGCTCCCTTCCCCTCCTCGTCGTGCTCCCTTCCCCTCCCCGTCTCGTTCCCTTCCCCTCCCCGTCGCTCTACCTTCCCCTACCTGTCGCGCTCCCTTCCCCTCCCTGTCGTGCTCCCTTCCCCTCTCCGTCGTGCTCCCTTCCCCTCTCCGTCGTGCTCCCTTCCCCTCCCCGTCTCGTTCCCTTCCCCTCCTCGTCGTGCTCCCTTCCCCTTGTCAAACTATAATGATGCTTATGTTGTGTAGGCTGTAGTGGGGTAGCCCATAAGGGGCACAACCTAATTAGGGTTAGTACTTGTACCTAGTTCTGTTCTCAATGCATCATTCTCGTTCAATTATTCTTACATGGTTTCAGAGCAGGTTTTGTTCCATGACCGTTTTTTTTTCCTAGGGCCCACCAATTCGTTAGCTGCCCGTAGCGCCCTACCCCACCAGTCGCGCTGCCCTGCCCTGCCCTGACAAACGCGCCGCCCTGCTGGCCGAGCGCTGCCCTGCCCTGCCTGTCGCGCTGCTCTGCTGGCCGCGCACTGCAGTGCCCTGCCCGCGCACCGCCGTTTCCTGCCTGCACGCCGCCCTTTACTGCCCGCGCGCCGCCCTGCTGGCCGCGCGCCGCCCATTGCTGCCTGCGTGCCACCCTCTGCAGCCCACGCGCCGCCCATTGCACCCTGCGCAGCCCGCGTGCCGCCCTTGCAGCCCGCGCGCCGCCCTCTGCAGCCAGCGCGCCGCCCCACTGGCCGCGCGCCGCCCTTGCCTGCCCGCGCGCCGCCCCACTGGTCGCGCACCGCCCTTGCCTGCCCGCACGCCGCCCTTTGCAGCCCACACGCCGCCATTTCCGCCCGTGCGCCGCCCTGCCCTGTGCGTTTCCCTAGTGCACGCGCTTCGCCCTGCTAGTCATGCGCCACCCTGCTCTGCCAACTATGGCTACACTCAGCGTACTCACATTCGATCCCGAGGACCGCCCGATCCAGTTCGATACATGGCTCGAAGACTTACAACTGTATCTACTGAGTGATTCTAAAGACGGCGTCTCACTGTTTGACCACACGTCTGGTTCCTCTCTCGCTCCTCCCGACACAGCTGCCAGTCTTACTCGCTCACAGTAGCTTACCCGTGACGCTGCTGCTCACCTAGCCATTCGCAACCACCTGCCGTTAGCCGAACGCGCTCACTTTGGCCAGCACAAGACTGCTAAGGCCCGGTATGCCGTTGTAGTCGCTCGTTACTCTTCCCCTGCCACTGCTGCTCTCGGCCGCCTTATACTGCCCTACCTTTTTCCCGAGCTGTCCTCCTTTGCCACAGTTGAGGACCTCATCACCCACCTTCGCACTAGCGACACTCGCTGTTGCTCCGCCCTCCCAGCCGAGTTCTTAGACAAGAACCCGCCCCCGATGTACATCACTCTCTACTTCATAGTCACCCACCTCTTTGACTCTCTTCGCGCAGTCAGGGACCTCTTTCTAGCACTTGACCCCACATACCTCACTGTCGACCTGCTCGAGAAGCACCTCCTTGCAGCTGAGACTAGCATAGTCGCTGTAGGTGCTGCTCGTGGCACTCCTCGCACGCCCTTCTTTGAGGGGTGTTCCCCCTCCCCCCTTGCCCCCTCCTACGCTTCTGCTGCTGCTGTTGACTTCCTTGGTGCTGAGGAGGTCTGCTCTGCTTCTGCTCCTAGTGGGAAGCGCCGCAGCGGCAAGGGCAAGGGAGGCAAGAGTGGTGGAGGTCGCAGCGGAGGGGGGTGGTGGTGGAGGCAGTGGAGGCGGTGGAGTTGGCGGAGGTGGCGGTGGGAGTGGTGGCGGGAGTGGGGGCGTCGGTGGCAGCGGTGGCGGCGGCGGTGGGAGTGGTGGTGGTGGTGGCGGCCGCAGTGGTGGTGGTCGGGGTGGAGCCGTTCAAAGGGGAGGTTCTGGCGGTGGCCAGAGGCAGCAGCAGCAGCGTCCGCGCGAGACCCCTTCACCCCAGCAGCTTCGTGAGTGGTTTGCTGAGTGTGGGGCGTCTGGGGGTAGTTTTCGCTGCCCGTACGTCATTCGCACAGGTGACCGCGCTGGTCAGACATGCGGGAAGTTTCACACCCAGCACCGCTGCTATCTCCGCCTTGATGACGCTTGACGAGCTGGGTTTGGCGACGACGCTGAGCTCCCACGCTGGCTAGATCTGCTTAGGCGGGACGTGGATATCTTTGCTCTTGACTATGATGCTATCCTTGCTGCCATGTATGCCCTAGCTGTTAGTGCTGAGGGTGACTATTACCTGTGTGTGCCGCCTGACCCAGGTATAGAGGCTGCTGCTCTAGGTGCTAGTGAGTCTGCTCTCCCTGGTACTGCGCCTGCTGAGGCCTTGCACACCTTCACACTTGACTCAGGTGCTTCCCGCTGTTTCTTTCACGACCGTACCACACTCATGCCACGCCTTCATGGCATGCACTCCCGTGGCATGCACTCCCGCCTCCTTGTCTCTGGTCTTCCCAGGTCTCTGCCCCCCCTCCCGCGCTCGCCTGCCCCGCCCTGCCTTCCTTGCGTCGAGGGGCGGCAACGCGTAGCTCCTCACTCCTCCTCATTTCCCCCGACGACTGCTCCCCTGCAGACTCTCCACATGGACGTGTGGGGCCCAGCCCGCGTCCGTGGACAGGGCCGCGAGCGATACTTTCTGCTGGTTGTTGACGACTACTCGCGTTACACCACAGTCTTCCCCTTGTACAGCAAGGGGAAGGTGTCTGATGTCTTGATCCCTTGGATCCGCGCTGTCCGTCTCCAGCTCCGCGAGCGGTTCCGCACGGACCTTCCTGTCCTGCGTTTGCACTCTGACAGAGGTGGTGAGTTCTCCTCCGACCTCTTGCGGGACTTTTGTCGTGGGGAGGGCATCCTCCAGTCGTTCATGCTTCCGGCCTCCCCACAGCAGAATGGGATTGCTGAGCGCCGCATTGGCTTAGTCATGGAGGTGGCTCGTACCTCCATGATCCATGCGGCTGCTCCCCATTTTCTGTGGTCGTTTGCGGTCCGATACGTTGCGCATCAGCTCAACCTCTGGCCCCGTGTCTCCTTGCCGGAGACCTCGCCTACACTGCGTTGGACGGGGGAGGTTGGCGATGCGTCGGTGTTCCGGGTCTGGGGCTCTCGTGCCTTTGTCCGCGATACCACCGCGGACAAGCTCTCCTCTTGTGCCATTCCTTGCATCTTCCTTCGCTTCCCCCTTGACGCGCATGGATGGCAGTTTTACCACCCCACCACGCCTCGGGTTTTGCCCTCTCAGGATGTCACTTTTGACGAGTCAGTTCCCTTTTACCGTCTCTTCCCCTACCACACTGCCCCTCTCCCCCCCCGCCGCTCTTCCTCGCTCCAGGTCCCCCTCCGGTAGACCCCCTTCCCCCTCAGGGTCCTGCTCCTTCAAGTGTGTCTCAGGTAGACCCACTCCCCTTGGCTGAGCCTGTCGAGGTCAATGGCGACTCTGGTACTGCTGGGGGTGGTGCTGCTCGGGGTGCTGCGTCTGGGGGTGCTGAGCCTGCGGGTGCGGAGCCTGGGGGTGCTGAGCCTGCGGGTGCGGAGCTTGGGAGTGCTGAGTTTGAGGGAGCGGAGTCTGGGGGTGCTGAGCCTGGGGGTGCGGAGCCTGGGGGTGCTGAGTCTGGGGGTGCGGAGCCTGGGGGTGCTGAGCTTGGGGGTGCTGCGTCTGCTGGAGGTCCTACGGGTGCCTCGCCGCAGCGGTCTAGCCGGCGGGAGCCTCTCTCACCACAGCAGCTGCGCGAGTGGTTTGCTAGATGCACCCGCCTTCGGAGTGGCCCTGCTCGAGCTGGAGGCACTGCCGCCTGAGGTGCTAGAGCTGGAGGCGTTGGAGCTGGAGGCACTGACGCTGTGGACACTCGAGCTGGAGGCGCTGGGGCTGGAGACCCTGGAGCTGGAGGTGCTGACACTGGAGGCGCTGGAGGTACTGAAGCTGGAGGTACTGAAGCTGGAGGTCCTGGAGCTGCTGGTACTTGAGGTACTGGAGCTAGAGGTATTGGAGCTGGAGATACTAGTGCTGGAGGTACTGGAGCTAGTGGAGCGGCTGGTGTTGGAGGCGCTGGAGATGTAGACCCTGGAGCTGGCGGCGCTGAACCTAGCGACCCTGGAGCTAGCGGTACTGGTGCTGGAGGCACTGTGCAGCAGCGACCGTTTTTCTTGCCGCCGCCGCAGCTGTCCGAGCTCCCGCCCGAGTCGGTGCTCCGTCAGGTTCTTAGTCTTCCTTCATCCACTGCCCTTCCTCCAGACTCACCGCTGCCTGCCCCCCCTCGTTACACTGAGCAGCCAGTCTCCCTTACAGAGCGTCGTGAGCCTGTGTCTCGTCCAGCCTCACCAGTTCGCACTGTTCGTCTTGCCCTTCGTGTTCCCCGTCCTCGTCCTCCACCTGTCCCCGGCACGCACACTATGGCACTTCGTCCTTCCTCTGTTCCACAGCGAGTTACCCTGCCGTCTCCTCCGGCGTCCTCTCTTCCTGACGTTCCAGACCCTCAGTCTGTCTTGGTTCGTGCTGCCAGCCCTACTGTCACACGTCTCCTCGCCACTGTTGTCACTGACCCTTCTTTTGAGTCCACTGCTGCGTCTGCCTTAGTTGCTGAGCTTGTTGACTTTGCTGCTGCGTGTCGTCTAGACTACGCCGCTAGTCTTGTTGCTGAGTCTGAGCCTGTCTGTCCTCCGTTCGTCGGGGGTGAGTGTGCTCTTGGCACGGACGTCCTTGAGGACAGGCAGGAGGACTTTGAGTGTCTTGCAGCCACTATAAGGACTTTGCTGCTGCGTGTCGTCTAGACTACGCCGCTAGTCTTGTTGCTGAGTCTGAGCCTGTCTGTCCTCCGTTCGTCGGGGGTGAGTGTGCTCTTGGCACGGACGTCCTTGAGGACAGGCAGGAGGACTTTGAGTGTCTTGCAGCTCATCTCGTGGCCATGCTGCTTGCACCTGAGGGAGACCCGGATGCACTGGACATCCCCACCCCGCGCTCTTATGCAAAGGCGATTTCGGGTCCCTACCGCGCTCTGTAGCAGACTGCCATGGACGCAGAGATGGCATCCTGGAAGTCCACAAGCACTTACGTCGACGCAGTTCCCCCTCTTGGGGCGAACATTGTCGACGACATGTGGATTTTCAGGGTGAAGCGGCCGCCGGGTTCTCCGCCTGTCTTCAAGACTCGTTACGTTGCTCGAGGCTTCAGTCAGCGACAGGGAGTTTACATCTTCCAGACCTTCTCCCCTACCCCGAAGATGACCACT